TGCTCAATTCTTACCAAAAAAAAAAAAAAGTATTTGCACAACAAATTATGCCGATTTTTGATTGGGATGAGACTTGAACTTAAGAGCTTCTTATGTAAAGTTGATGTTGAATAAACATTGATTATGGTAAATGCAAATCTATTGTCCTACACAAAGTGGATAGATGTTGCTAAATTTGTCATCTCAACTAACTCTAAAATTACAACTACCATTGTTTTTTTTTTTTTTTTCTTAGTTTGGAACCGAAACTGCCCAATTCCCATTTTCAATTTTATCAAACTGGAATCAAAACCTTTATGTTCTGTACCTTTGGTTCTAAACTAGAACCAAACCATACGAAACGGTTTCAATTTTGGTTTGGTTCCTATAGAGCATAATTCGGTTCGAACTGAACCGTGGTCATCCTTATTGAGGAGATCTTTCGATTATCCAAACCCAAAGTCTACTATTCAGGATATATGTTAATTATTCAAAAATTTTACGTTAACTTTCTTTAGAACATCATATATTAGAAACCAATTAGTCTCAAAAGAAATTATCTTCGGAAAAAAAAAGATCAATTATTCTCAATATAGTTCCGATAATTAAAATTCTTGATCATTAAGTAATTAAATTCTCATCAATTTGTCTGTAACGTAACGTTTTAGGCTATATATAAAGGGTCTAAGGTGTTAAAAATGAATTGCAAATTTGATCTAACACGGCATTGAGTTTGAGAAGACAAAAAATAATGAGATTGATTATTAATGTTATCCGCTTTTATTAAATGAGGTTATGATCTCTTGGGGGAGCGTTATGCTGTGCAATTGTGTGCATCATGCATGGTGCACACCGTTGCAAAAACGACGTCGTTTTGACGTCCGACTTTAAAAAAAAAAAAAAAAAAAACCAGAATTGTATAACTACACATCCATAACTTCATAACTATACATCCAGAATTGCATAACTACACATCCATAACTTCATAACTATACATCCAGAATTGCATTACTACATATCCATAACTTCATAACTATAAATCCAAAATTGCATAACTACACATCCATAACTTCATAACTATACATCTACACATCTATAACTTCATAACTATACATTCAGAATATGAAATTATAACTTCATAACTATACATTCAGAATTGCATGCATAATTACACATCTATAACTTCATAACTATAAATCTAGAATTGCATAACTACACATCCATAATTTTAAAACTATAAATCCAGAATGTGAAATTATAAAATCATGAACATATGTTTACGTAACTAATGTCAATCGAAAATGATTTTTTTATTGAAGTAAAATGACGCCGTTTTTGCATCTGTGTGCACCATGCAGATGCACAACATAATTTGCCCTTGTTTCATTGTACTCTGTACGTTGATCGTAAATGGATTGCACCGTTTAAACTTTAAACATAACTAAGCTATTGGACTTGTGTGAGACTGACTCACGGGTCTCAATTTGTGAGACGAGTCAGATTTTGATTAATGGGTCGAAGATTAATGGATCGAATTTTTGATCTTATTCATCAAAGACTCGACCCGTCATTCAAAGACTCGACCCGTCTCACTGATTTAAATCCGTGAAACAGCCTCACAAAAGTTTTTACCTTGAGAAAAATAAAAAATTTTCTTTGTTTAGTTCACGAAAATTAAAACATTTTTCAATATTGGAAAATATTTTACGCAATAATGAGCAAAAAGTTTTTCACTCATCCCTTTTATATTTTTTTCATGAAAAAAAGTTTTAATTGAAAATTAGTAGGACAATTTTTTTTCCACTTATCGATCCGTCCCAGAAAAGTGACCGGCTAGGGCCGTTATCTAGAATTTATTTATTTATTTATTTATTTATTTATTATTATTAGTATTGTGTTCGGTATATTATTAGTTTTTATACTTATTATTCAATACCCTTCCAAACTCTACTAAATAATCAAATTAAGAGTTAATTTCCTTTTTTTGTCCTAGATTTATAGGTGACTTTCACTTTTATTTTTTTTTTAATTAGAATATCCTCATTTAGTCTTAGTATTATTGTGGCATGATCATTTTTAGTCCTCCTTCAACAAAATCGTTGAAATATCGTTAAATACAAAGACATTTGAATCTTTTTTATACAAAGTATGTTGAACCGTATATTTTTATGTTTTTTTTTTGAAAAAAAAAAATCATAATTGAAGACCGAAATGCCCTTATATTTTAACAATATTTAAATTGTTTTGTTAATAAAGGACAAAAAATGATCATGTCACAATAATACTATGATCAAAAGTGAATGTTCTAATAATTAAAAAAAAAAAAAAAAACTTAAATTGGATTGCCACCAATAAATCTAGAACCAAAAATAGAATTAACTCATCAATTAATATTCTCAGTAAATTTTTTTTAGCATTGTAATTAATCTTCCTAAAAGTTGTTTTTCCATCAAATTTTAATTTCATTCTATCTAAAATATTTTTTTTCAAATAAAACGGCAAATTTTTAATTCTTATTCTACGGTACCGGCCCGCCCTATCTTAGTGGGACAGACTGAAGTGCCTTTTGGTTCAAATCATCCTAACTACAATTACAAAATTTTTGAAGTAGTCAAGTTTTAATTATTAAGAGTAAATCAAATACTCCTATCATCTCATTTTATGTGTTTGATTTGATTAAGGAAGTTTGATTGGAGTTATTTTTAATTTAATTTTTCATAATATTAAATTTATTATTATGATACAAAACTTATATATTTAGAAAATACATTATTATTAAACACAATCAAAAAATTAAATTTAAAAATAAATAAAAAATACTAAATAAAATAAACAATGAAAAAAGAATTAATTTAATTAATTAATAGTAAATTAAATAAGACATGTAAAATAAGACATAGAGTAGTAAAAATTTTCACTTAATTTCCACACACCAACATCACATCACCCAACAAACATTTTTCATTCACATCTATCTCTAGACATGTCATATGCTGGCATGGAAAGGTGGAAGAGTAAATAAAGTATCATATTGCTTTGTTACTTTATAAATTTACTTTCAACAAAATTAACTTGTTAGCTAAAATTATAAACACTATGGCTCTGTTTGGCAACACTAAGCTAGGAGCTTATAACTTATTTTAAGCTATTAATAAGCTATAAGCTCTGTTTGGTAATGTTCCCAAAACAAGCTCCTAGCTTAAAATAAGAGCTTATTTTGGAATGCTACTTTAGGTAGCGTTTCAAAATAAGCTCCTGGCTTCCTAACTTTTTTTCCATCTTTACCCTTATTATTTTAAAGTAATGACATGTTTTAACCTTATGAATTAAAACCCTTTCTCTTCCCCTATCCCAACTTTTACGTCAATCCCTTCCTTAGTCTTGTTTCCTGCTAAACAATTATGTTGAAACTTTAGCTTATTATTATTATTATTATTATTATTATTATTATTATTATTATTATTATTATTATTATTATTATTATTATTATTATTATTGTTGTTGTTGTTGTTGTTGTTGCTATTGTTGTTGTTGTTGTTATTATTATTATTATTATTATTATTATTATTATTATTATTTTAAAATTAGCAATATGGCTTCAATCTCAAATTGAACAAGAGCCGTCAACGAAAATTTAAGTCACACCTCTAATATCTCAAATTCAAAGTAGTAATACCTCCATCAAAGAAAATTTAAGTCACACCTCTATGGAGATGAAGGAGATTCGCAACAATATTGCTACTTCATTATGGGATGCTAGATCATGATCATGCTAATAGTTTTATTTTAAAAAGTGTTTACTTTTTTTGGAAGACGAAATGTTAAATTTTAATATGTAAACAAATTAATTTAAATTTTATAAAGATGTCCTTTTTAGTCTTTTTACATTTATCAGCTTATCAAAAAGCTAATTTTACCAAACACTTTCAATCATAACAGCTAGCTTAACAGCTCTTCAATTTTCAGCTCCGAGCTTATAGCTTTTCAACTTTCAGCTCATTTTCAGCTATCAGCTCCTAGCTTATAGCTTTTCAGCTAGGTTTGCCAAACAGAGCCTATATATATATATATATATATATATATATATATATATATATATATATATATATATATATATATATATATGTCATAATGATTATAGGATAAAGACTTGTTAGCTAGTTTGATTAACATAATTATAATTGTCAAAACTCAATTAAACTCATATATAATCACAATATGTTATATGTGTACTCTTCAAAGTTACACATAAGCAACACTAATAATATCCTTCATTATTATAATTTATAAAGATCCTAACCATTATATTATAATAATCCACGCTCTAAACTTATAAGTGGCTATATATCGTTGGAGAAGCCTGTCATCCACATCACTTAAATGAATTGCCAAGAGTCTATTAATTGACTTTAGTCATATCGATTATACCATTAATGTCAAAACTTGAAGCATGCCCCAAGGAGTTGAGGCAAATTTGATCTAACAATACAGTGGGTTATGAAAGACAAAAATAATGAGATTCGTCATTAATGTTATCTTCTTTTTTATTATATATATATATATATATATATATATATATATATATATATATATATATATATATATATATATATATATATATATGAGGTCATTCATGATCAATTGTTTCATTGAATTATGCTTCAATACATTGAATTCCAAATTTCCAAAAGAATTTCTACTTTCATTTATTATGCTTCAATATATAAAAAGGATTTGAATGACACAAAGAATTTCTACACCTTCAGATAGCTCATTGACTCATTGGTAGGCTTTGTGCGATATTTTTACTTGTATCTCCACTATTTTCTTTACCTTCATTATTACATTAGTCTATTAGTAGAGAAGAGTTTGGTTTGAAATTTTAATCATACATAAATATATTGAGTGCAATCAAATGATACTTTTTAACAATAATTGGATGTATATAATTTTTGAAAGCGATTATATTAAATAATTACTGTTAATTCATTCCTCAAACATTCAGTCAAAGTGCCTACAAATTAAATATTTAATAACAAAATTTTCATAAATTTCAGTCAACAGTATTGGCACAAAATAGAATACATTTTTGTCGCACTTCAAAGGGAACAAAATAATTAAAGTCCTGTATTAAAAAAAAAAAAAATCATATCTTATGGTCCTAGCTGACGAAGGGCCAGGTGGAGGTAATATATACATTAGGACATATAATCTAACTTTCTAACTTTTTTTTTTTACTCGTCCATCGAGAGCGCATTCCGTGACTGGTATTTTGACTAACATCCTGTCAATTTAATAGACCTGAGCAATGTTCCATATTAAATATATTGAGAATTGAATTTCAATCCAATATATTTAATTTGGAACATAGCTTGGGTCTATGAAATTGACACGATGTTGATCAAAATACCAATGCAGAATGCGCTCTCGATGAACTTGTAAAAAAAAAAAAGTTAGATTGTATGCCGTAATGTATTGATTACCTCCCCGGTATGCATCTCAACCTTTCATCATTTAAAATAAAGATACAACTCATATGTATATAAACATTGTCCATTTCTATTAGATCACTAAACTCTATTATAGAGGAGTAAGGATTTTCAAAGTGGTTGCCGATGAATTAATGGAAAAGGGAATGAATGATGGCCAAATTTTGGCATCTTTCATTCCCTTTTCCATTAATTCATCCACAACCACTTGAAAAATCATTTTCCTCTATAGTAGAGTTTAGTGATCCAATAGAGACGGACAATGTTTATATACATATGACGTATATATATCTTAATTTATGAAAGGCCGAGATACATACCGGATCAGGTTTGATTATATGGCCGCACCTCTCGGACAACTCTCAACAAGTGGTCGGCAATAGAATATGCGCCATTACTCATACGCCATCCTCCTCCCTGAATTAAAAAACAAAATAGCAGAGTTAAACTTTGATTTTATATATATATATAGAGAGAGATCAAGAATAATAAGTTTATACATATTATGCTCCATAAGAAATCTGGTCAAAGAAACGAGATGGAGAAACAACAGATCTGCAGAACAACAAGATAAACAAACAAAATAAAAGAGGGTGACAAAGTTACAAACCCAACCACAATCAGAGATGGAAAAGTTGCACTGCACCACAAAACCAAAACCAAAACAATGGATAGATGAAGGGGAAGATGTGGAGGAAGGTGGGTTTATTTGAGCTGCTGCAAGGAGGATGCCGATGGAGGGGAAAAGGAAGATGAGAGCACAGGGGGAACCAGACGCCGCCTCCGCTAAATGAGCGGAGGCGGCGGCCGCTGGAGGGGTTGAGAAGAGAGCTAGACTATATTGAATTGATCTTGCAGAGAGATTTGTTACAACACATAGTATATATAGAAGAAATGTGAAATTACACTCTTCAAAAGACTTGACAATGAAGCATGTGATAAGGTTATGTGTGGTAAACATCACACATGCAGTGAGATGGAGTGTTGGAAAAAAGTCGATGCGGGGAAGAATATAATAATTAAATTAAACACAAATGCAGCTATTGATACTAGTAATAATGTCATGGGCTTTGGATGGGTTCTTTGAGATGATGATGGCGGTTTCTAGCGGCCAAAAATATGCGAATGAGTAGATCATTTTAGGGTACAAATTTAGGTATTATTTTTATTTTAATACACACTCCTGGCATGAGAACTTTGTATGTTAGCCTTCACTCTATCATTTAATTCCCATACTGCGTTTTACATCTTTTATGTTTACCTACCCTCATTTAATCATTTTCACAAGTAAACTTTTTTTTTTTTTCTTTTCATCATTTAATATTTTTGTTATTGTTTAATGAATGAAGATCACATTAAAAAATTTTTGTATGTCATAATCTTAGTTTTTTTTTTTTTTTTTTTTTTTTTTAATGAACAAACTAGTTGCTGATATAATAGTAATTAATACGTTTAATCAAATTATATAATGGAAAATTTTATTTATGCTCATCTCTTGTATGCCAATTATAAATGTTACCCCTTAAATCTAAGTAGTATAAACTTTGTCCCTGAATTTTTTTAATGTGTGTATATATTGTCCATCCCTGTTATAGATGTTGCCCCCTGAATTATGAATTGTCTTAATGAGGATCAATACTATATACACACACGTTCAGATAATTCAAGGACAACATTTATACCACTTAAAATTGAGATGTGACATTTATAATTGTCTAGAAGAGATGATCATGAGCATAAATTACAATTTTTCCTTATATATTATAAATATAATGCCTCTCTTGATCTGAAGTGGAGGTGGGAATGAAGTTCAAGTGAGTGAATGATTTGTGGGTTTAGCAGAGTTTTAAAGTGGATCGGAGCTGAGGCTGAGAAAGGCTTAATTGCTAAATCATTACTTGTTTTTCTAGGAAAGGGACGAAGAAAGCTACACGTACCAAACATTCAATTTCCAATGCAAATGCCTCCTCCATCCTCCCTCTTTAACTTTGAGAATGCTTTTGTCATTTTGTGATGATGTAATATATTTCTTTTTACTTTTTTTTTTTGTAACTTAGGAGTGGAGTTTTTTTTTTTTTTTCTCACTTTTTACTTTTTAAAGTCGAAATAGGAGTGAGAATAAAAAAAAAAAAAAAAAAAAAAAAACTATTAAAAACTCACTTAGATTTTTTTACACCTCAACTGAGACTCGAACTCATAATCTTTCAAATAAAAGTCCAACCCAAATACCATTAGACCACATAATCCTGGTAAAAATTCTCTTAGATTAAATTTTGATCCTATATATTTTTCAAATATTGTTTTACGTACACATTTTTTATTTATTTTTATTTTTTGAAAATTATACATTTTTTTTATTTATGCAACACAAGTTTCATTGTTCTTTTATATAACAAATGATGTAATAAAACATGAATGTTCTCATAAATAATAAATGAAGCTACTCCTGAATAAGAATTTTACATTATATGAAATATGATTTGATATTTCCAATTAGCATTAGTGTGGTCTCATTGTTACAAGATCTTTTTAAATCTTCAATAATATAATATGGGCAAGCACATATATGTTTTTTTTTTTTTTTTTAAAGATGAGAATTAAAGCTAAGGGTGGAGTATGGAGAGGGATGAAAGGGAGATGAGACATGACGTAATGCAACACTAATATGGGAGGGAGATGAGTGAGATAAGGAGTATGTAGCTTCATTTATTAGAGCATTAATGCCTTTCAATGATAAACATTAAATTATGAGCACATCTACAAAACTATGCACTGCACCACTCTCCTCTCTCAATCTTTTTCCTACTATTAATTAAGATGTTTTTTTTTTTTTTTTGGAGAATTAAATAAGACTTGTATATCATATTATAGATGTAGAAGGCTAGAGATAAGAATTTATTATGTCAATTTTCTTTTTTATCCTTTCAAATCTTTAATAAATTGGGTAGATATTCATAATGATATAAGTAGGTTCATTTACTTTTAGGCTACATCTCAATATCAGCTTAAGTTACCTATACAAGTCAATGTCAGTCTTTTATCACTATGAATATATAATGTTTACACGAGTTTTTTTACACTTTTGGTCCCACGACTATAGTGACACTATCAGGATTGATCCGCGACTTTCAAATCTTGAAATATTGGTTCATGATTATTGTTTTTGTTGCAAAAATAATGGTCCTTTCGCCCAATTTTCTGTTATTTTTTCACTGGAGAAAAAATTCACCATTTCAAAGAGGGATAAAATAGACATTTACATCGCCCTTGCAATCTCGGACCAATGTTGACCTCTTGTTTTTACCAAAGTGAGAAAAAATCAAACAAAAAAACTCCAATTGCCAGAGACGAACCCAAATCTGCTCTCATCGACTCATCTCATCAACCTATCTGTGAACCCTATTGAGTTTTTCGCACTAGAGAATCAAACCACAAAATCCAATCCTTTAAGAATGATTCTTCTTTTCGCTTTGAGTATAGTGAATGGTTGAGAAAATGATATTACAAGAGTAAATTCATTGTTTTGATTTTTTAAAAAAGTTTTGGTTATAAAAGTTGTAGTGAAAAGGGAGAGAGAAAAAAAAAAAAATTCAAGGTGGTTGCTAACTAATGTACTAATTGAATGGCCACCCAATTCACTTCGATGTGTAACTTTTCAATTTGTTTTTTCAATTCTTACAAAAACGCAAAATAGTATACAATCCAGACTTTTTTTTTTTTCTCTTTCTCATTTTTCATCCACCTAAATCAAAACTTGACAAAAACACTTGAAAAACCTATCAATGAAAGTGGTTTATTAAGAAGAGACCGGCGTACAAAATTTGAGTTTAAATTCCAAACAAATATAATTAAATTAATTCTCAGTACTCATGATACATTATTTTCCCTCCCAAAAGGAGTGAGAGAGAAGTACGGAGTGGATGAGGGCATGCAGCATTGACTCATTTCTGATTTCTCTTTCCTTTTCTCTTTCACACTCCACAATTTGCACCACATATCATATCACACCAAAAATATACAACCCTAAGCTTTGTAGGCCTAACTTCTTCAAATTAAAGAAAGCACCAAACGCCATTTTGGTGGGAATTTTGGTACAAACTTTGCTCCATCCAATGAAGGCGTTATTTTTTTTCTTTTTTTTTTTTTGGTCAAATTATTCATCACAATATTTAATAGAAATAAAACCAAAAAATTAAAACGTTATCCACTTTTGTTTTAAAGAAAACATCATTAAAATCTAAAACATAAGTAAATTGTAAAACCATTGTAAGATTTAAGTACTCGATGTTCAACATATATAATTAGAGTAGATTATGTTTTGTTTTAATTGCATCTAAGTCATAACTTAATGGGATGTTTGTATAGTTCAAAATGGGCGGTCGAGTAATTAAGTGTAACGTAATTTTCATAATAGAATGTTGATTCTTGTTAAGGCCTTCATAGTGTAGCCTGTTACTCAAAATCTTCCTTGTGCGATTTATTTCACAAGAACGAAATTTATTCAATATACAATCTCTGTGATATTTCTTTTCTTTGGTATTATTTCGTAAATAATAGAAAAAGTAATATTACAAAAATAGTCGTCATATTATATGATTATAATTTTGGGTGGAAAATAATAGAGGAAAGTAAGAATTTGATTAGCGCGTTTATAAAGCAGTGAATTTGCGTGGAAACATAAGAGCAACAAGGGGATTACAACATTTTAAGTTGATTGCACCAAAAAATAAATTAAAAAAATGATGCCGGTATATGAGGTGAGTGGTGTTGCGTGCCACCATTTTTTCTTCCCTCAATTCATGCAAATCCATAATTTTATTTTAAAAAGTTTTAAACTAAAATATAACTATGCTTGTGATTCTCTTTTTTAATGTGTAAATTTATGGACCAAACACATTTTAAATCTTAACTCATAACAAACCAAGTGCATGCTTATAAGGAAAGATGGAGATAATTTGTAGATAGTGACGGATCCAAAAAATTATATGAGTGGGGCGTACTTAAAGTGACGTACTTTAGAATTGTTAAGGCCAAAATCTCAAACATCTATAATATGGTTCAAATACATTATAAATTATAATAAAATGTTTATGATAGACTACATGATAGTTAGGGGCGGAACCAAAACTATATTTGGTTGGGTAGGGTGGAATTTTAAAACACTTTAAAATGTTACAAAAAAAATTTTTGGCAAAATATAAAATATAATCAATTAGATAAACTTGAAGCATTCTCGCAGGGTTTCCCCAGGGGTTTCATTCTCGCAACATATAAACTCAATATATGTAATACACTAATACTAGAGGATTTTGAGAATCACTCTCTTGCATGACCTACTTAACTTCTATTATCTTAGTAGTCCAACACATTTATTGCCATCTCGAAAGATACATAAAGAATTCTCTAATTTTTTTAACATAGTTTTTCCTTTATAAAATTTTGACTACGGATCCTCAAGTCTAATTCTATAGTAACTCCAAAACCCATGACTTCTCTGAGTTTTTCTTTAATCAATTAGTTAGTTTAGGTACCACTCAAAAAATTAGTTAATTTAGGTTAGTTTCTCGTAATTTTTATTAAGGTGTCGATAAGCTAAGATTGTCTTAATAGACATTATCATTATAAATATATGTTTAAATCATCTTTGTTTCTCCATAATCTGAACCTGAGAGAGGATGATGATCAGGCAGGTCCTAGTGCCTAGGGACGATATTCGTCCAATCGGAGACCAGAAGATTTGAAAGCAATTCTATCAAGAATTAAACAAAATTAAAGAAATAAAAAAAAAAATTCAAAAAAAAAAAAACGCAATAAGAAAAAGTAGCGTCATAATTAAATGGT